ATTGGCTTGGAGGATGGCCGTGTGGTGTTCCGGGATTATTGAATAATTTCTCTTAGTTCTCTAACCTTCTGAGATATTTCAAGATATGATTTGGTCATTATTGACCGAAGTTTCATCCACTACTAAAATGGCATACCTAATGAAGTTTGGAGCTTAAATGTAGAGGTTTCATGCTGTTTCTTTTGTGGATTATTCTCCTTGACATCATTTTGCTTGCCTGAAAAGCACGTCAGTCAATTTTTTTGATTCTATATTTGACAATATTAATGTGATTAATATGGTATACTGGCAGTATGATGAATCCAAATCCCAAGAGATGATTGAGCGCAAAATAGAGCATGCTCCTGCTGGACAAGACACAGTTAGGATGCTTACTCGTGAGGAGTGGGAGGAAATTAAAGAAGTGAGGCCAAGGACTCCGTTTGAATCAAAGCTCGCTCGTCCAAATGCACGAAGAAGAACTGGAGAACCATTACACAAGGTGAAGCTCAATTCTCGTGTCATTTATTTTTTTCTTTAAATAGATTGAGGTGGCCTAATTAGTTATTTCAGAGACTTGCTGATACTACATTGGAAGGGGTAAAGGTGTTCTCCAACATCCTAATGAAAATTGATTGATAAATTGTGTTCAATGGCTGCCTCTGTTAAATGGTCTGGAATAATTGCTTATTAGATTAGAAAATAAGTCGTGGTAATGTCTCCATTTTCTTTGATGGCCCATGATGGAGGGTCCATTCATGGTAAAATTTTGTTAGAGTTCCATTTTAGGAAAACTGAATGTGGTGCTAGTTTTTGGTATCTTTGATGCCTCTCAAATACTAGGCACTTTGTTTCTCATTTAACCTCAGGCAATTGAATTTTGTGCTCCATTAGACATATTTATCTTGTTATTTTGTCTGTGGGTTTTGTTGGAAATGGTTATAAAATTCTGGATAAAACCAAAATTTTTTCCTAAGTTCGGTCTATTTTTTAGGTGGGCCCCGAGTGTCGATTTACTTGGGTCAAAGTGGTAACGCATTCTATGCCGCGTTGTGATTCACGTGGTATATTTGGTTGATCAAAACCATTACCGAGTGAATGAAAAATGTACTGTTGTTTATTTCCTAACTACACTTTTTGTTATTTCGGTCAATAATTCCCAAGCCTACTTCACAATATTTTTTGCACATTTAAATGACAACTTCTTAGTAATTAGCAATACATTTTATTGCCTTGCATTTTCATATTCAAAATCTATTGTACATGGTTTTTTAAAATGGAATCCCCCTCTAGATGATCTTTTGTGTTATTTTGTAGGAATTAATTGAAGTAACTCTGTTTATGCTTTTACGAGATCATCCAAATAATTGAAGGTATTCATTGACATCTACTTATCATATTATGCTTAATCAATCATTATTTCTGTTGGTTGTTGATTTTGATGTTTTTGATTTTTTATTAGTTGATGCACTTTTAAATTTCTTTATCAAATTAGCTGGTTTACTTTGGTTTTATTGAATTTTTATCTTTATCGATTTGGTAAGTTGTTGGTGAGACGAAGAGGGTATGCGGTAGGGGAGGGAAAGACAAAGAAGGTGGTGGCAATGTGATGGGGGAATATAACAAGGAAGGGTAATATTTGATCCAATGGCTAGGATTGCTTCCCCCTTTCATCCACAGTCCATTTTCAAGACTGATTTTGAAAATGCATTTGTCCTATGTAGCAATTTGGATGGTCTAGATTAATTAAATCCAATGGTCTATTTTTGTAACACTTCACCCACCTCAAATTCTAGATATCTCTCAACCCCTCCTTAACTTTGCCCCTTCCTTCTAGCCACCGCTTCATCAAAGTCTAATTTAATCCAATGGTTTATTTTTGTGCCTATTTCATTACATAATGAGCTTTTCCTTTTTTGGTTTTTTCATTTTTCCATTATGCTAACTAATAGATTTTTAAAAAATTTTCTTAAACTCAAGCTGTGATGAGATCTTTAAGTGTCTTTGTTCTCTAATTTGATTTTGATTTGGTATTTGTTCACAATTCTATTTTGGGTTTGTTTTTAAATTATTGTATTCATAGCATTGTTGTTTAGATCATATGAGAACTCCTTCATTCAGATTTGTATTTGTCTGCTTGATTTTCTTTTCTTTTCTTTTATTTATTTCTTTTATTCTTTGTTTTGGACTTTGTTGTTAACCATTTAAAGTGAACTTTTTTTGGGTGAATATTTAGAGTGAACTTTGTTGCATTAATATCCTTAATTTGATTTTCTTGGAAAAATTGAATCATTGAGAACTGTTTGAGGATTAAAAATGAAGTGTGAGGCTAACAGTGAGTTTAAGGACACATCAGATATTGATAATTTAGGAATACATACTTCATTTTGGTTGGGGAATGCCTTTAGGCACAGATCATTCGCTAGATTGTTTTGATATATTCTTCGTTTTGGTAATGTCTTTTTCTTACATAATTTATTTATTTATATTTTTTATTTTAAGATGCGGAATTTTTTATTGTCACAAAAGTATATATATATATATATATTTTTAATTTTAAAAGAGGTTCAACAACCTTCAAAAGTGTTGACATCTCAATTTTTTTTTTAGTCCCAGAATGGTTCTTGAATAAAATTATTATCAACTGGTATGGTTCTTGAAGCATTTTTATTTATTTAATAATTAAAATATTAGTATAATTCAAGACTATAAAACACTTGATGCTTCATACTATTAGTATTGCTGTTCAACTTTTATTTGATGTTACTTGAAGGTTGTGTTTTGTCAAGTTTATATATGGCTTATAAGCTGGCTTCTTGACTTATTACGAAAAAATGTGTAAAGAGTACAGAGGTGATGTGACCTAAATAACCAAATAATAAGTCAATAAATAAGCCACTTTCCAAAATCGCCCTTGGGTTACAAGTTTGATTGATCCAAATGTTTTGGCTTTTATAGATTTTGTGGATGATTTACTTTCTTAGCTTTGTTACCCCTTCGGGGCTGAATTTTTGTATTCTTTGTATCATCTTGATGTTTTTTTTAACAAAGCCTGCTTATTTATGATGGAAAAAAATTTATGCTGAAAGCTCCTCATATTAATTTTGCCATGGACTACTAGATTTGTTATGTTAATCAAAAACAAAGAATTAAAGTGTTGACATCGCAGTTTTTTTTTTTTTTTAGTTCCAGGATAGTTATTGAATAAAATTCTTATCAACTGGTATGGTTTTTGAAGTATTTTTATTTATTTAACAATTAAAATATTAGTATGTTTCAAGACTACAAAGCACTTGATGTTTCATAATATTAGTATTGTTGTTAAACTTTTATTTGATGTTACCTGTAAGTTGTGTTGCGTCAAATTTTTTATTGTTATGCTTCTAATTATGCCACAAGCTCTTTATGTTTGAATAATTGAAGATGGTGGATTTGACGGCCAAGGATCTCATATTTTTTTTATTAGTTTAAATATGTTCTTAATTTTGAAGCTTGTTTCTTTTAATGGGATTAAGTGAGAAACATGGGATAATGTACTACTAATGATTATGCAAGATCTTACATTTTAAAGATTTAGCAGTCTCATCACTGTCTAATGAAATCACGTATGATGTAGTCAATAATTTTTTTCAATTAACTTTTTCTTCAATACTTATTTATTTAACATGCTTAATTATATGATTTCTTATGTTGCTTTATGTGAACAAACTGTAAAGGTTCTTCCGCTCATGAAAGTCGAAGGAATTGAACCAATCTTTTATAATGCCAATTCACTGATTGTAGTGATGGATGCATTTGGTAAGTCTCGAAGGCATTTGGAAACGTCGTCCCTTTTTTAACACTATGTAAAAAGAAATGCATGACTTCATATTGCTTTTCCTATTTAGTTCTAAGATACTCCATTACAATTCAAGGCAAATTGTTTTGAAGGGAATAAACTGGTTATCTACAATACACTTATGAAGGTGGCGAACCTTAACTAGGTGTCCTATCTTTTTGGTTTTAATACAATAGTTTGTTTTGCCTCTTGGCTTTTGTTAGCAATAGTTTGTTTGGATTTTCTCAAGTGTTACATTTTTTATGGTAATTTTTTTTGAACGGTTTTTTTATTTTTATTTTTAGCCTTCTACGAGGAGTCATATGTACTTTGATCATAAAAAAATTGTTCAACTGTGAATGTGATAACTGCTGGTAAATTGGGGAAGACAATGATGTTTTTATCAAGAAGAGTTATGTTAGAAAAAAATTTATGTTCAATTTCTCTTAGGCTTCGTTTGGGAAGTTGCTATTTTAGTAAGCTATTTTAGTTTTTGCTATTTTAGTAGGTTAAATTTTTTGTGTTTGGGAAGATGATTGGATTTTTTTATAGTTGTGATGTTTGTGAGAGAAAAAGTGAAATGATTATGAGTTTGATGTGATATTTTGTCTTATTAGCTATTTTAGCCTATTTTATTTTTTTTGTGAATTTTAGCCTAAATTAGGCTATTTTTTTTCTTCCCAAACACCCCCCTTAATTCATAGTTATTGATTTTCTTATTTCTCATAAACATTTTGAATGATTTTTCCTATTATGATTTATTTTAATTGATTTTTTAAAATCAAATTCAAACATTGGAGTGATTTTGTTGTAGGTGGCTGATCAATATTCAAAACGTTGTGGTTGTGTTTTTTTTTTTGTTCTATGTGTTTTAGTGGTTGGTCTTTTATTCTTAAGGCTTGGTTTGGAAAGTGGGTTGGTTTTTGAATTTTTGACTTTTTTAACTATTTTAGCCTTAGTTAAAAAGCTTAGTTTGGGAAGGACTTTCTGACTTTTTGGTTTTTTTGATTTTTTTTGTGAGAGAAGATTGTAATGATTATGGATTGGATGTAATGTTTTATTTTTTATGGTTAAAATAGTCTATTTTATCTTTTGTGACTAAAATAGCCAAAAAAAAAGCCCAAAACCTAAGTTGCCAAACAGAGGCTAACTGCATGATTAGTTTTTTTTTTTTTTTAATAAACTACAATAATTATTCTTTTGCAAAAATGCTCCGTAGCTCGAATAACTGATCCCTCTCTGTGATCCTCTCTCTCTCTCTCTGTGGCCCAATCTCACCTCTCATCCTTCTCTCTGATTCGATTTCACCGGAGAGGAAAAGCGATCTATGGCTGTGAGGAACCACGATCTATGGCTGTGTCAACATATTTGGATTTTGATTTTAGATTTGGGTTTTGATTTTAGATTTTGGGTTTAAGTGAGAGAAAAAGATGAGTTTGCTTTATATGGTGGCTATAATTAAAAACTGGGTTTAATGAAGTGGTATTGCTCTGTACAAATTCCTCCAAAATCTTCTTCGTTCCAGAAATCTCTTTTGCGCTCCAAGCTTGATTGCAGAATTCTATGTCCCTTCTTGCCTTCTATTCAACATTTGTTTTGTCTTTTCACAAATCCTAGACATTGGAAGCTTCTGTGCATCAAGAAGGTATAAACCTTTGTCTTCAACATTTATATATATATATATATATATGTATATGTACATGCAGCAATTATTTCACGGAAGTTCGAATTTTTGTTTGATTTTATCTGATTTGGGTTTCGATTTCGATTTCAATTTTGATTTGTGGTTGTGGGTTTGGTGTAAAATTCCCATCTCTCTTTCTCTGTTGTTTTTTGTTTTGCTTCATTCAACAGTCTAGAAAGAAGGGAAAAAACAGAGGAAGAAGGAAGGAACGAAGGAAAACACAAATATTTTTTTTTTAAAAAGTACAAAACGACGTCGTTTTGGCATCTCGAGCCATTTGGGCCGCGGATGATTCGAGCTACATAGCGGGGTTGATTCTTTTGTACCAAAATCTTTATGAAAAATGTTTGGTAGCTCAAATTTTTGTGGCTCAAATCTGTCAAAACGACGTCGTTTTAGACTCAAAATCTGTCAAAACGACGTCGTTTTGACAGATTTGAGCCATTTGAGCCACAAAATTTTGAACTACCTGGCATATTTGAATCTTTATTTACCATTCCTCTTATGGGTGAAGTTTGTCATTTTGAATTGATTTGATATAATTGAGTTCTATAACACAATAAAATTATTGTTATTTTGAATTAATTTATTTTAATTGAGTTTTGTAAAATGTGCAATACCAAAAAAAAATTTGAGAGTGCCTTTAGGCACAGATTATTCCTAGTTTGTTTATAGCACACGTATATATGTTTTTACTTAATGTTTCAATAAGGCTTGTTTGGTAACCCATTTTAATTCTTTTGTCATCCTCCTCAATTCTGAAGACAGAGTTCCCAGGCATTTTTGAGCAAAGAAGTAACAACCAATCTCACAATTGGGGCTATGTTATCTTTGCTCTTATGGGGTGAACAGGTTGGTTTGTCGGCACTGAAATAATTCGAGGACTTGATTGATAGTTAGACCGTCTTTTTGGTAACAATGCTTCGAGTTGGCAGAGCAGTATTCCCATTGCATAGACAGATGCATACACTATCCCGTGACGATCCTAGCGAAACCCTAAAGAGGAAGGTTGCTGAGTTGGAGAAGATGAGGAAAATGAAGAACCCTAGGAAAAATCAGTTATTTGTACAAGTTCCGGAGCCAAAAACATTCCTTGACACAGCGACTATGCCGATGATTCTCACTGCTGTCGGAGTTGCACTCTTTGCGAAACTCCTGATGATGGTACGTACGCTTAGTTTAGATGCATTTCTTTGTGCTTATCTGAACCAAATTAATTTGTTTGCCAAATGCGTAACCTCTATATCAGTTTGCTACTCATTGGTAGTAGTTTGATGGGTTTTTATTTATTTTAATTAAGAAAGTTGAAAACAAAAATTCATGGGTTTGAATTTTTGTCTCAACCTTCCATTATCGCGAATCTAAAAGTTAGCCAAAATCTATCTATCGGATTGCCTAATGGGAGATACATTATCGCGAATCTTTGTGGCAAGGTTTCAGGTAATTGTGTTGGTGGGACTGTACTGGTTATAGTTCTCGGGTGATTATTCAGTATTCCGTATGCACACATGGTGGTGCTCCATAAGATTTTAATTGGTAGAGAGGGGTAAGAGCGCATGATTTGTGTTGGGGATAGGAGAATAACATGGAGTATGGCCATGTGGTGTTCCGGGATTATTGAATAATTTCTCTTAGTTCTCTAACCTTCTGAGATATTTCAAGATATGATTTGGTCATTATTGACCGAAGTTTCATCCACTACTAAAATGGCATACCTAATAAAGTTTGGAGCTTAAATGTAGAGGTTTCATGCTGTTTCTTTTGTGGATTATTCTCTTTGACATCAATTTTGCTTGCCTGAAAAGCACGTCAGTCAATTTTTTTGATTCTATACTTGACAATATTAATGTGATTAATATGGTGTATTGGCAGTATGATGAATCCAAATCCCAAGAGATGATTGAGCGCAAAATAGAGCATGCTCCTGCTGGACAAGGCACAGTTAGGATGCTTACTCGTGAGGAGTGGGAGGAAATTAAAGAAGTGAGGCCAAGGACTCCGTTTGAATCAAAGCTCGCTTGTCCAAATGCACGAATAAGAACTGGAGAACAATTACACAAGGTGAAGCTCAATTCTCGTGTCATTTATTTTTTTCTTTAAATAGATTGAGGTGGCCTAATTAGTTATTTCAGAGTCTTGCTGATACTACATTGAAAGGGGTAAAGGTGTTCTCCAACATCCTAATGAAAATTGATTGATAAATTGTGTTCAGTGGCTGCCTCTGTTAAATGGTCTGGAATAATTGCTTATTAGATTAGAAAATAAGTCGTGGTAATGTCTCCATTTTCTTTGATGGCCCATGATGGAGGGTCCATTCATGGTAAAATTTTGTTAGAGTTCCATTTTAGGAAAACTGAATGTGGTGCTAGTTTTTGGTATCTTTGATGCCTCTCAAATACTAGGCACTTTGTTTCTTATTTAACCTCAGGCAATTGAATTTTGTGCTCCATTAGACATATTTATCTTGTTATTTTGTCTGTGGGTTTTGCAACATATATTTTCTAAAAATTGTTGAGATAGTTTTGAGGCACTTTGTAGGTTAACATGAGAGGCCACAGTATTATATTAATTGTGTGCTCTAATCCTCTACACGTATGCACTTTATTTACTTATGATTAGCACAAGACCAGAGGTGTATATGCTTGCTGTTTTATTTGTTTTAGTGTCAGAGACTTGCAGAAATTCTCTTCTCCACCAAATTACATGATAATATCAAGATCCAGCTATTACGGTTTGTATGGTTTCTTTTCTTGGGAAACGAGCCTCTATTTCTTAAGAATTAATACTCGTCTGACATGAATTTAAGATCCCTAATTATTTTTTTGAATTCAGAACCACCTTTTCTTTTTTATATGCATCTTTTATGTGTTTGTTAGGCAATGGCACGTTTTTAATCTTATATCCTGTTTTTCCTTATAACCTTTAGCACTTGTGGCATTTTAGTATGTTGTTTACAATGACTGTAGTAGTAGGGAACTATATTTGCACCATGCTCCGTTCTTTCCACATCTAACCTCAACACAATATGTGAACCTTTTCAATATTCAGTCTGTCTTACTGCCTCCTGAGAAGGCTCAAAATTAGGCTCTTGAGTTTATTGAACAAAATCTAGTGTAGTTAGAATTAGAAGCCAAGTTTCTTAACCCAGGTCTGTTACCATGGTGGAAACACTGACCGCATTGCTCTATTTCTATCGTAGCTGAAAACAGTTTACTATGGTAACTGATGGAACTGATGATGACATTTGTAGCTCAGAGCAGCAAATAACAGTTCACTGTTTGTATAACCAAATTAAATGGATTGTGATTTGGGTACGTGCTTAGTTCCATTCTTCAGAAAGTATGCATGTGTGCTTGTGTGCTATATATCAATGTTATGAAAATCAGACCAGACTTGTCCATATGAACCACAAAACTGCTTTGAACACAAACTGCCCTCCTTTGTTAAAGCTGATTAGATCTGTGGTTGAACCAGTCACTCGTTCAAGCTGGCAACGGTTTACTTTGACCGACTGTTTTCTAAACTCCTCTAAATTTTGGCTTAGGGCTCTTTCAGCCCTCATTCCGTCATTCAGTTTTTTCATCCTCATTCAGTCTTCACTCCTCAAACCCCCATATCAGTGACGGATGAAGAATCTGTGTTTAGTTTATTCGATTTTGTGTATCTATGATGCCTTTTTGTAATTTTAATACTTGTATTTTTTTAATTTAAATTTTGTAATATATTTGAGACATTTGATCTTAGTTGATCCGGCATTTGAACCAATGGCGATTTAATCCATTTTTCTGGTTTCCCTGACCATTTGTTTTTATTTACTTGTTTTGTGCAGGATGATTTGAAGGATTGGACTATTGATGTGCTCACAGATGCACTAACTCGTGCCGAAGAAACTGTCAGACACAGGCCCAAGTGAATTCGTTTAAAAATAGGTATATTTACTTGTTTTATTATTGTACATGATTGCTTGGTAGGCTTTGAAAATCTTCGAAGTTGTTGATGCTTGACGTTCATGTTCCTGCTGCAAATGGCAAAACAAATGCAACTGCAATGCTATGTAGCCTCCAATTATAAACCATTTGCAGCTGCCAAGTTTTGCAGTGTCACCTTCTTACGGCCGTGTGCAAGTTGTATTTTTTGTTCGTTGTTCACCCTAGTGTTCCAGACTCACCTAATAATTTGTTGTGTCCGAGAAGTTATATGATATTCTTGGAATCTTATGTGCCCACGCCACAATAGGGACATGTCTCCATTTTTGCAAAGGGAATTAGTTGCTGATAAACAGTAGGCTTGATCCAAATATTTTTATTTTTAATCAAATGCAAGTTTCATTGTAGTATTTTATTTTTGGACAAATTATACTAATAGTTCTTATAGTTTTGGGACTCATGTCACTTTCATTCTTGACTTTTCAATTATGGCACATTTGCTCCTGAATTTTGAATCGTGTTTCAAATAAAGATAATTGAAGATACCATAACTATTGTTTAATTTCAAGGGTAAAATTGTCAATTTGATAAAATATAAACTAATTTGATCAAAATAAATGTCAAAAAAATATTTTTAAATTTTCTTTCTACCTATTAAAGACAAAATTATGTAAAATTGATAAATCTTTTAGATATTTATTTATTTATTTTTACCAAATTAATATTTATTACGTGTTTGGATGATGATTATGTAATGGATGACTGTTAGGATTTTAATGTGTAATCGATATATTTAATATATGAAATATTTTTAGTTTTGGATTTTTTGATTTAATGGATTTGTTTAATATTAATATTAAAATTGTCGTCATATTTGATTTTTGAAAAAATAAAAATTAATTTAACGTAAATAAAAATAATCACTTATTACATGATCATCATTTAAATACATAATAAAAATTAATTTAATAAAATAAATAAATAAATGTTTAAGAGATTTATCAATTTTATATAATTTTATCTTTAATAGGTAGAAATAAGTTTTAAAAATTTAAAAATATTTTTTTGATATTTATTTTTGTTAAATTAGTTTATATTTTATTAAGTTGACGATTTTGAAAAATAAAAATAACGTAAATTTCAAATTATAAGAATTATCAGTGTAATCCGCCCTTTACTGGTTAAAGCAGGTTTAGACCCACAATTTGGTCATGACACGAAACAGATGGGCTCAAAATTCTAAGATTTTTTTTTGAAAAGGGTTGAGACTCCTTTTTTATTTCTTTGACTACCATTACTTTTATGTATTGGGAGTGGTTAATTTTTTTTTACCACTCTCACTGACATATATCTGTGAAGATTGTGGGATCAAAGAAAAAAGAATCTTTATCATTTTTCTTTTTTATTTTTAGAGCCCATGGTTTGCATCGTCAACACTTGCTTCTCCTTGAATGACTTCTGGCATTATATTATTAATTAATACAAGGCTGTAATGGCTTCACTTGTATGCATCGTATACACACACGGGATTGTTTGGCAATTCTTTTAGTATATTTTTTGATTTTTATAAAATATAAAAAAAGCCGTAAAATATGAATTAATTTGAAATGATATAGTAAAAAAATAATATAACTTAAATAAAATGATTATAACCTAAATAAGATCATGCGTTAAATAGCATGTGTTATTTTAGGTCAAGTTTGCTAACTCAAAATAAGTACATATTTTTTATCTTTTTATCTTTTTTTCAACACATCATCCCTCTACTTTTCTGCACATCTTTTTATAAAAAGACAAAAAATACACTTATTTAGGTTATCCCAAACAACCCTTAATATATGCCAGACAAAACTTAAATATATGTTCTTATATATATTAGAACATTCAACTTCTAGAATCCGATCATCCTCTTCCAATTCTATATCGTAAATTTGTTGAGTAAATTATTGGATAAATTATATCATTTTTTATATTTGGCCATTTTTCACTTTGATTTTTAATTTTTTTTTATCACTTTGACCTTTTATATTTTAAGTTTTTTCAATTTACTCTTAAAGTTAATATATGTTAAAAATTAGACAGAATATAACATATTGACATTCACGTGATATAAAAATATTTTATTATATGTAACTTACATATCTAATATAAACTTAAATTATTGTTGAAATAAGTAGTAAAAAATAATTATCTAAAATAACAAGAGTGCGTTTTAATTAGTGATTATGAGTGAGCATAGTTTCAGTTTGGTTGAATTTTGAAGTAAATGAAAATTAAATTACTATCTACAATTTTATAAAATTTGAAATTAAACTGAATCATGAAAATGCTATGCAATTCGATTTGGAATTATTATTTTTATGAACTTTATTATCATTCACAAAATAATCACAACTTGTTTAAAAATTAAATAATATATCATTATTTTACAAATAAAATTATTTGAATAATTTAAAAAAATTAATTTTATTATTATATAAAATATACTTATAAATAAAAAGTTAACAATTTATAACTATATATAATATGTTAATAAATAATTATAAAATTACGAATCAAATTGTAAAGTGCAAATTACATATTTTAAGAATCTAGACTGAATTATCCATTGAAAAAATCAAAACAAACAGTATAATTTGATTTAGAGCAGACGGATTTACAATTTTTAAATTTTTTTTAATAGTGCATGCCCTTTCCACGTGTCGACTTGTCGCGTGACACTCTGTTTTGCAATTACGCCACTCTCATTCCCAGTCCATAATCCATAACACGATGTTTTCACCGAGCAAGGATCCTCTAGAGTGATTTTTCCCTAAAGTTTCCTAGAGTGCTACACTGTGTGGTTGAGATTTACTGGCAAGTCACATCAATTTTTCTGATGTGACTTGCCAGTAAATCTCAACCACACAATGTAGCACTCTAGGAAACTTTAGGAAAATTTCACTCTAGAGGATCCTTGGTGGTTCTCACCTACCCTTCAGTATGCGTGTAGAAAAAATTATTGGTTGGTTTTGTGACACTATCAGATTTTCTAAAGGTGTTACGATTAGTATAGGGGTGAGATTCATTATTTTGCTTTCGTTTGGAATATGGGTTAGCTTTCTAAGTTTTTGATTATTTTAGTTGATGGCTTAAAAGTTTTGTTTGTGATGAATTTTTTTAATTTTTTTTGAATTTTGTGTACTAAAAAATGAAATAATTATAATTTGAATGAGACATTTTATTTTATTGATTTTTTAACTTGTTTTATCTGTTTCTATTAAATAATTAAAAAACATGAAAATTTATAAGAGTTTGTGATAAGTGAGAAGACTATCACGTGGCGTCGCAACACCATCAAATAATTTTTCTGCTTATGGAAAGGTTTCCATCTAGTTACCTCTTATGTGTCACAAGGGTAATTCTATGGGAAAGTGGATTGAAGGCCTTCCTTTCCCTAATTTTATGGTAAGTTACACTTTGTTCATTTTTTTGTTTAGTTTTGTTTTTATTTTGGCCTCTGAAGTTTGTTTTTTCAATTTGACCCCCCAAGTTTTTCTCAGTTTAATCTTAAAAATTTTTATTAAAAAATAGATAGAAAATAACACATTGACATATAAATATTTTATTATATAAAATTAACATATTTGATATAAACTTATATTTTAATATAATAATATATTTTTGTGTTATGTAATAGTTATTATGATATTTTTTTTAATCTAATTTTAATATAATTTAGCTTTAAAAGTGAATTGGAAAAAATTTAAAACATAAAGGATCAAAGTAAATAAAAAAAAAAAACCTATAAGGTGCATATGGTGCACACATTTGAAGGATGTCCACCATAGTGTTTCCCAAAAGTTGAAAATTAAGTACTGAAAATTGAAAGTTGAATTCTTCAAGTTGAAAAGTTGTTTGATAAAAATTTAAACGCTAAAATTGTTTCATATGTAAGAGATTAAATTTGAAATTTATTATTTTCAAATTGTATCTTTAAAATTTTTTAGTGTGATGGTGGTGGTGGTGGTGGTGGTGATGGTAAGGTTATAATGGCATATGTCGATGCTTATGCATAAGTATTTATAAATTTAGTCAGTATTAAATAAGGAGAAATGCTATGTATCTCAAATATTCTACCAAATATTCTACCAAACCTCTCACATGAGTTGGAACTCACACAAATCCATGTGTGTGTGGGTCCCACATCTATGTGACAAATTTGGTAGAATATTTGAGATTCATAGCATAACTCAATTTTTTTATTTAGATAGTGAGACTCATTATTATTATTATTATTATTATTATTCTTAAGATAACTGAATTGTATGATATCAAGTTTTGATTACAAACTACCAAATAATTATCTTATATTTACATAATTAATTTGTTAAATTTATTTCATCATCACTTTTACCATAACAATAGGTTATTCTATAATACACACCATATACTATATACAAGTTAAAATAACACTGTGTTTGGTTGTGATTTTTTTAATATAGTTTTTTGAAAATTTTATATAACTTCTTTGGTTATTCTGAAAAATGAATTATGTTTTCAAAAAAATAAATGAGATAGGTTGGCTTTAGTAGAATATGTATATATAGGTAGCCTTTGATGGGTACGTTTTTCTGAAAATCTAGGTACACATAGGTAGGCTTTGAATAGGTACATTTTTCTGAAAATATAGGTACATATAGGTACATTTAGGTATATATATATATATATGTATATATATATATATATATATATTTAAAAAAAGAGAGAATGTTATGATGTGATTTTTTTATGTTTTTTTTAATTGTTTCAATCATTAATTTAGAGGAATATTTGAAATTGTAATGATGTATTTTTTTAAAACCAAACAAACATTTTTTTTCAAAAAACGGTTTTCAAATCACTTTTTGAAAAAAAATTTCAAAAAATCCAACCAAGCATGGTGATTTTGAGATTCTTGACAATTACAATAGCCTCTCCACATTTTTTTAAAAATTACACGGACTTCCATTATAACTAACTCTCCAATTAACGCCATGTCATAGGAGATGCTAATATAATTTAAGAAAAAAGATAGCAGACCGTTGTAATTTGTCTTTATATTTACCAGTCATATAAAGGACTCTTTTTGAAAGATGGTTAAAAATTTGACTTTTAGTGTATTTTGGGCCACATCAGGTCTTTATTTTTTTTACATATTTTGTAAAAAAAAATCAAAAAACCAACTTTTAATCAATTTTCCAAAACAATTCAAAATCACATTTGGCAAGTGAGTTTCTAACTTTTTTTTTTGCTAAAAAACATAAAAATATAAAATAGGCCACCGTTTAGGAAGAAGGCTTCCAGGCTTTTTTGACTATTTTAGCCACAAAAAATAAAATAGGCTATTTTAGCCACAACAAACAAAATATCGCATCCAACCTATAATCATTACAATTTTCTCTCATAAAAAAAAGTGAAAAAAATCAAAAAGCCCTTCATAAACCAAGTTTTTTAGCTCAAGCTAAAATAACCAAAAAAACCAAAAAACTGAAAAGCCAACCCACTTCCCAAACGAAGACAAAATATCACATCAAACTCATAATCATTTTACTTTTTCTCTCACAAATATCACATCGAACTACAAAAAAATCAGCAATCTTTCAAAACACATAAGTTTTAGCCTACTAAAATAACTAAAAACTAAAATAGCCTACTAAAATAGCCAATTTTCCAAATGAGGCCAAATTTTTAGACAAAAATTAAATATTTGATATAAATTTATATTTAAAAAAATTATTTGGACATAAACAGTTGAACGAAATATACATTTAAATAACTTATTTTTGTTCATTAATCTATATCTGAACAATTGCCTTTTATTTAAAAATTTATATCCAAACAAAACAAATGATATATACTGTGATTTATTGAGGTGTGCAAATAGAATTTCTCGTGTTAGATTCGTAATACCAAAAAGGATCCAGCTTATCTTCAATTGGAAATTAGCATTAGGCCATGTAGTCCGTGAAGTGGATCCACTTTTGGGTTTCACTTCGATGATCAAAGTCATTCACATTTTAAAATTCATTAAGTATATCATCTGTGTAAAAAATTAAATAGATCGAATAACGAAAATTACGTGATCGAGTTAGTTTTGTACAAAAAAATGGATGGCCAAAAAATAGGGAATGACTTATTTCTAGTCCCAAATTGGATTGGAGAGTACTGTTGGGCTCGTGGGACCCACCACAGGTCCCGTTTCAATAATCTGAACTGTTCAATGTGTAGAACTCGTCGAGTACTATATGTTTGTAAAAAATCACGTTGATCGGATATTGATAGCTTTTTCATCGGATCAGATTTCTGTCAACCGTTTTTTTTTACCGTCCATTTTTTTAATACAAAACTAATTTAATCATGTAATTATCGATATCCGATCAACATAATTTTTTACAGACATGCAATACTCAACAAGTTTTACATATTCAACAGTTCAGATTATTGAAACGGGATCCGTAGTGACCCCCCCGGACCTAACAATACTCTTCAATCTAATTTGGGACGGAAAGGAAGTCGGGCCTCAAAAATTAAACAGTTTATATAAAATAGATTACAACATGTAATTATTGTTATCCAATCGGTTTAATTTTTAACATGAGTAATACACTCAATGAAATATAGCCTTTGTTTGACAACTTGAGTTGGGTTGGGTTGGGTTTATGATTATTTTAGTTATAAAAAGACAAAATAAATTTTTTAGTCAAATAAGACGAAATATTACATTCAACCTATAATCACTACATCATTTCGCTCATAAAAAATTTAAAAAATAAAAAAAATTATTTCTAAACAAAAATTATCAACTATAAATTAAAATAATAAAAAAAAACTAAAAAATCAACACACTTTTCAAAAAAAAAAAAAAAAAAACTCCTCGAAAAAAACCGTTTGAATCGAATAACAAAAATGAGCCGACGTCGATTGTACGAGCCATACCAAAACTACCCTTTGGCATCCACCCCAAAGTCATTTATAGTACTTTTCATACAGTAGTAGCCTATATCTCTCTCTCTCGATCGTTCAATTCTTGACTCATTCTTCTGCATTGCCTTACAAGCTCACCAAAAAGAGAACCAAAAACAGTAAGCACAAGCTTCGCTTCGTGTCTCTCAAGGTAAAATTACTTGATCTTTGACCTAAATTTGATTCATTTCTAGAGAAAATCTTTTCCTGGAAACAAACGACACCTTTTGATTGTTTTTTGTTTTCTGTTGCGTAATCAATTGTTGTGGAGGGTTTCGAATGAGTTTTTTTTTTTTAATTATTAGTTGAGGTAAGCTTGATTATGACCGTGAATTCGGGATCACGACTTGATTATGAATGCGTTTTTTTGTTGTTTTTATCCGGATTTTATGTTGTTCAACATTATTTGTGATGATCGGCGAGTTGAGAAGTAGAATTACGTTGTATTTAAAACCCTGGCAATTTGATGCAAAAGTTGAAGCAATCTCCGGGTTACGACATGAATTTCAGTTTTTATTTTTTATCTTTTTATTTAATTTATTGTTATTATTGGGTGCACTATACTAGAATTTAAGGATATTTAAGTTAAAAAAAAATTGATTTACAGTAATTTGTTTAAAAGTTCGAAAACCATTTTCCTACATTAATATTAATTATTGATTATTTAAACTATATAGATTCGTTCCTCTTGATTTTTTTTTTAAAATTTAAATATTATCTTTTTCTACCTTTTGCTCTCTATGTTTGTCTATACATGATACGCTATAATTTATACATCTAACTTATTATAACACCTTTTAAAGAAAGAGAAAGATTAAAAATTTCACAATATTTTGGTGTCTTTAGGTGATTAGATTCAACATGCGAACAATCTGTTCTACAAATCCACTCATAATCTCATAATCACTAACAACTCATGTTTTTACAGTTCTATTTCTATGCTTAGATCATTGTAGATTGTGTTTGAGTTACAAAAATTATGCTTTAAATTTGAGGCACTGGTCTGTTTTTGAAGTACAATTAGGTTTTTTAATCACATGTAACATTGGAAATTTGATGGAAAAAGTGAAGCAATTTGTGAGTTAATGACATGATTTTAATTTTTTTTTGGCTGCATCTCCTTCGTTTAGGATTTTATTTTTTTAATAAAAAAAATTATTATTACTAGTGGGTGCACTACACCAGAATTTAATGGTATGTAAGTTGTACACAAAAAAAAATAAAAAAAAATAAATAAATAAATAAAAAAAAATTTCACTGACATATAAATGGGAGCTCAGTATAAGTAGCGTATTTGTTATGCTAAAAGTTACAAACACTATTCTATTTCTATGCTGGATCATTGTAGATTGTGTTTGAATTACAGTACTTCTGCTTTAAATTTGTGTCAGGACTTAGTCTGTTTTCGAAGAGGAATGCTAGTTGTCAATATATAATCAAATACAATGGGGGAATCCAAGGGAAGTTTTTTGAACTCGCCTATAATAGAGAAAATTGCCGACCGTGAATATTCATCAATTTTCAAAGGCCTTGGATTGTATGGCGTCTTGGGTGCGATTGTTGTTGCTGTACTTGTACCTTCATTGCTGTCCATGATACTTGTGGGGAAGAAAAAGGTCAAACAGAGAGGGGTACCTGTTCAGGTTGGTGGTGAGGCAGGGCTAGCAATCCGTAATGGTAGATCGGCCAAATTGATTGAAGTTCCTTGGGAAGGGGCCACTACTATGGCAGCTCTGTTTGAGCAGTCTTGTAAGAAGAATTCACACGAACGATTTCTTGGAACAAGAAAGCTAATTAAGAGGGACTTTGTAACAGCTAGTGATGGCAGGAAGTTCGAGAAAGTACACTTAGGGGAATATCAATGGGAGACTTATGGGCAGGTGTTTGATCGTGCTTGCAATTTTGCATCAGGACTTATTAAATTAGGTCATGATGTGGATACTCGTGCTGCCATTTTTTCCGAGACTCGGCCAGAGTGGTTAATTGCCTTTCAGGTAGCCTTGCCAATCATCTTCTATTTTCATATAATTTTCCACATGTCTGTGTTGTGGGTGAGGAGATGACACTTGTATTTGGGTTTCAGGGTTGCTTCCGGCAGAATATTACCATTGTTACTATTTATGCTTCCCTAGGCGAGGATGCCCTGATCCACTCACTTAATGAGGTAGGGAGACCATTCTTCATGCAAAACTTTCTTTACCCCCACCCCCCTTCCCTTGAGATAAGGATAGCATTTAGATGGTTTACTGGTAGATTATATTGTACTTGAGCTGCTATAATTCTGACTGGTTGATAAATCCTGGCAGACCCAAGTGTCAACCCTGATTTGTGATTCTAAGCAATTGAAGAAGTTGGATCCAATAAGTTCAAGCCTAAAAACTATAAAGAATGTCATTTATTTTGAAGATGATGAAACAACAAGCAACTCCGACTCCTCCAGAAATATGAGCACTTGGACAGTTTCATCTTTTTTTGAGGTGGAGAAGTTGGGAAAAAGCAGTCCTGTTCATCCAACACTACCTATCAAGAAGGATATTGCAGTTGTCATGTATACAAGTGGTAGTACTGGTCTACCAAAGGTTTGATCAAACTTTAATTTCATATTCTTTACCATCTGTTATCTGCATATGCTGAACATTAATTTCAATTCAGAACAATACATATTAAAACTTGGATATTGGCCTTTGATGGCATGAGTATGAGATAGAAGATGCAAAAGATAAATTACAAAGAGAAAGTGTTTACGGATGCTTAAGCATTGATCTTGACATGCAGCTATCACACATCACAATGAATTTAATTGAAAGTTTGAAATTGTGCGCTTAAGTTTACCTGATAATAGGCTGCTTACACCTTTTCTTTTCTGTTTGTTCTGCCACTGCCAGAACCTTAACTTTTGTGAACATTATGTTGATGATGTAGGGAGTTATGATAACTCATGGTAACCTTGTAGCAATTGCAGCTGCGGTTATGACAGTGATTCCAAATCTGGGAAGAAATGATGTTTACTTGGCATACTTGCCTCTGGCTCACGTTTTTGAATTGGCGGCTGAGGTATTGTTATGTATGAACTTTTTATATGCAAAATGATTGTGGGGATTACTAATGCATTTCTAAATACATTGTCGTTGTGCAGTCTGTGATGTTGACTGCAGGTTGTGCCATTGGTTATGGTTCGGCATTGACGTTAACAGACACTTCTAACAAAATCATGAAGGGAACCAAGGGAGATGCTTCTATGTTAAGCCCCACCCTCATGACAGCAGTTCCAGCAATATTAGATCGTGTTCGAGATGGGGTTTCAAAGAAGGTTTCAATAAGAATGACAGAATTTATTCTCACATTTTTGTTGTTATAGCATTAATTTGATGCATTTTTAAATGTTGGATGAATGTGATGATTAATCAGATCTGCTTCTTCCTTGTTATTTTGATTATACTCAATAGGTTGAGGAGAAGGGAGGTTTTGCAAAGAAACTTTTCAGTATTGCGTATAAGCGCCGGCTGGCAGCTATAGAAGGTAGCTGGCTTGGAGCCTGGGGATTAGAGAGATCACTGTGGGATGTCATCGTTTTCAAGAGGATACGTTCTGTACTTGGAGGAAAAATCCGGTTCATGCTCTGTGGTGGAGCTCCTTTATCTGCAGATACACAGCGATTTATCAATATCTGCATGGGGTAATTGTTCTGTGATATATAGGAAGGAATTAATTAGATTTCTTGCTCTCCTTGCGTCTTAAGTTTCAATGCCAAATAGTTAATGAAGGCCCTCTAGATGGTAATCTTGATAATTATGGAATCAAATTTCAAAGTATTTAGCGACATTTAAAGTATGCTGGTATGTTTTGCAGTCAAACTTGTAGAATGAGAACTTCTTACCTTTTTTGACTAGCTAATGTTCTGTGTTTATTATCAGTTCTGACATGCAGCTCTCTTTTGCCAGTGACAATGAGACACTGCTCTAGTTTATTCAGGACAATTAATATATCTTTTTGCAATTTAAGTTGCTGTTTACTTGTTTTCCTACTGCTTCTACTGGTTCTTAGATTTTCAAATAACATATAATAAGGGGTACCTACACTATGTTAATAGTTATGTTTGAGGTTGAAACTCTTGTTAGTTCTAAGTTCTTACATAGTAGTTAGTTCGTGAAGATGAAACATTTGAGAAGGTTGGCTTGATTAAAGTTAATCTGTCGTGTATAAAGTGTGCATGTTATATATATATATATTTGTGGTATCCTCCCTAGAGATACTTGATAATTACTTGTGGAGCCTTAACTTGATCCATGCTAGAAGGAGCTCAGTTGCAGGACAGGCTCAAGGCATAAGCAAGTGAGGCAGCTGCCTGAGGCCTCGCTTGCCTAGATCCACATCAGTCACCTCTTCCAATAAAATAGTCATTTTCCCTTTAAGTGACGCGTTGTGCCTACCCCTGGGTATTTCGAAAAGTGAGTAAGGAAGTGTGGTGAAAAATGGGTAAAGGTTTCCGCGTTTTTCTGGACGAATGTGGATAAAGAAGCTAGTCCAAGATTAGAGGTTTAGGGTAGCCACATGGAATATAGAAACTTTAACTGGTAAGATTATGGAATTGGTAGATGTCTTGATTAGGAAAAAAGTTAGTGTAGCTTGCGTACAAGAAACTAAGTGGACGGATGAGAAAGCTTGGGAAATAGGGGATGCCGGTTTTAAGTTTTATTATAGTGGCAAGAATAGACACATGAATGAGTAGGAATAATAGTTGTCAAACGTCTTGTAGAAAATGTAGTTGCGGTCATTAAAAAAGGTGATAAGATTATGTTAGTTAAACTAGTTATTGGAGAGAATATAGTGAACGTTATTAGTGCATATGCCCCCAAAGTAGGATTAGATGATTAGACTAAGACAGTTTTTTGGGACCAAATGGATGAGGTATTACATGAGATATCTGTAGGAGAGAACCTAGTTATAGGTGGTGATTTCAATGGTCATGTAGAAGTAGATAAACTAGGGTATGAGAGGATGCATGGTGGGTATGGTTTTGGTGATAGAAATAAGGCTGGAGAGAGTATTTTAGATTTTGCGTTGGCTTCTGACCTAGTAGTGGCCGATACTATCTATAACAAGAGAGAGGAGCATTTGATTACCTTCAAGAGTTGGTTAATTAGGCGTCAAATAGATTACTTTCTAGTAAGAAAAAGGGACCGTCTAAAATGCAACGACTGTAAGGTGATTCTTAGAGAGAGCTTGACGTCTCAACATAGGATTTTAGTACTAGATTTATGCTATAAAGGGCAATACCAAACTCGGAAAGATAGTGAGCATCGCAGAACTAGATGGTGGGACCTAAAAGGGGTTAAACTAGACACATTTAAGAATAAAATGGATAAAGAAGGTACTTGAGACTTGAAAGATGATGCTAATATTATGTGGAACTTGATAGCCAATTGTGTGAGGAAAGTCTCAAGAGAAGTTCTTGGAGAGTCGAAAGGAAAGGGACCCAACTTTAGGGAAACATAGTGGTAGAGAGAGGAGGTCCAAGCGGTAATAAAAAAAAAAAAGAGAGCTTTAAAAAGTGACAGAATGATAGAACTGAGAAAAACCTTAAGCGCTACAAATTGATCAATAAGGAGGTTAAAAAAGTAGTGAGGAAGACTAAGTGTAAAGCCTATGATGACCTATACACTAGACTGGATAGTAAGGAAGGAGAGAAGAGGATATACAAACTTGTTAAGATAAGAGAGAAGAAAACAAAGGCCTTGTTTGGTTTATTTTTGAGAGAGTAATTTTAGAGAAAAATTTTTAAAATTTTGTTTGGTTTAGTGATTTTGAAATTTTTTTTCCAAAATCACTCTCTCTCTCCTACATATCAATCGATCACTTTTTCTCTTTTATCTCTCCTTTTCAATTACTTTTTCTCTCATATACATTTACTCAACTACAACAAAATATCAAATCATCCCAAACTCCCATATTCCAAAACTATTTCCAAAATATACAACCAAACAAACCAAAAAAATTCTCTCCAAATTTTTTTTTGAAAATTTATCTCTTAAAACCAAACCAAACACACCCAAAATATTTTAATCAGGTTAAGTGTATCAAGGGTGAGGACTCGAAGGTATTGGTGAATGATGAAGAGATTACGGAGAGGTGGAAGAACTATTTTGAGAAGTTATTAAATGAGGAACATGGAGGTAGGTCAAAAGGGGAGAAAGTAGGCAGAAATAAGGAAAACCAAGACTATAGGTTCTATTGTATGATTAGGGACTTTGAAGTAGAGATTGCACTTAAAAAGATGAAATTGAATAAGGTTTTAGGACCCGATGATATACCTATTGAAGCGTAGAAATGTTTGGGTAGGAAGGGGGTTGTTTGGTTGACTAGGTTATTTAACAAGATTTTGTTGACTAGTAAAATGTTAGAGGAGTGGAGAAAGAGTATTTTAGTGATAATATATAAGAATAAAGGAGATGTTCAGAATTGTAACAACTATAGAGAAATCAAGTTAATATGTCACACAATGAAAGTGTGAGAGAGAGTGATGGAACTTTGATTGCAAGATATAACAGAGGTGTCAGAGAATTAGTTTGGGTTTATGCCTGGTAGGTCAACTATGGAAGTGATTTATCTTTTGAAGAGAGTAATAAAAAAGTATAGAGAAAAGAAAAGAAACGTTCATATGGTTTTTATCGATCTTGATAAAACATATGATAGAGTGCCTCGAGGGATATAATCTGGTGGGTGTTAGGGAAGAAATGGGTGATAAAAGGTTACATTGATGTGATTAGGGATATGTATGAAGGTGTGGTGACCACTATTAGATCACCCGCTGGAGAGACGAGTGAATTTTCAATTTCTGTAAGGTTATACAAAGGATCAACCTTAAGTCTTTTTTTTTTTTTTTGATAAATAAATGGATTTTATTAGAAAAGCGTCAAGATGATGCAAGGAATACAAAAATCACCCACAAAGGGCCAACCAAACTATCTAAGTAAATCCTCCACAAAATCTGTAAAAATCAAAACACTTGGATCGGCTAAACCCGTAACCCAACTATGCAAAACCAGCAACAACCGACTCTCAAGTCAGGAAACGGAACGACACTCATTCTGAAAAACACTCCTATTTCACTCCAACCACACCAACCACATCAAACAGTGAGAAGCAAGAACCCAAGCCTTCCGACGCCGCTTCCCCACCCTAGCCCTACCCTAACCCCAGCTTTGAACCACATCCAATAATGACCCCGGTTGCACCCAAACCATCCCAAACAAAGCCACAATAAAATTCCAAAGTCGAGATGCAGCTGGACAATGTAAAAGCAAGTGATCCACCGTTTCCCCATCAATACAGCACATACAACACCAATTAACTAGAACCTGCCCCCGCTGACGCAAGTTATCAATAGTCAAAATCTTCCCCAAAGCAGTAGTCCAAACAAAGAAAGCCACCTTGGAAGGTGAACCCGTCACCCAAATGCTCTTCCAAGGAAACACTTCCCCACTCCCCCCCTCAAGCATACCATAAAAAGAAGACATTGAAAACACCCCTTTAGATCTCGAACAATCCCACACCAAAGAGTCCGCTCCATCCCCCCATCCTTGACACCATACAAAACGCCTAACAAGTCCACCAGTTGATCCAACTCCCAATCTTGCACATTACGGCGAAGGTGAACATTCCAAACAAACACCTGCCCCTGCCTAATTCTAGCAGACTCCAACAACTTCTCCTCATCCACAGCAATAGCATAAACCATAGGAAACATACTCGCCAAAGGCATCTCACTACGCCACTGATCTTGCCAAAAGCAAGTCCTATTCCCTACCCCCACCCCCACTTTAATCCGAGTCCTATCCCAAAATTCCGTCCACCCTATCTGTTTGCTTTAATTATGGATGAGTTGACGCACAACATTCAGGATGATGTGCCATGGTGTATACTTTTTGCAGATGATATTGTGTTAGTGGATGAGACTAGAGAAGGAGTTAACACTAAGTTAGAGATTTGGAGAAAAACACTTGGATCTAAAGGATTTAGAATAAACAGAACTAAGACAGAGTATAGGGAATATAATTTTAGTAACAGTCACAATGGAAGCAAAGGAGAAGTGAAGATTGAGAATCAAGAACTACTTAAGAGTGAACATTTTCGTTATTTAGGATCAATTATTACAACGACTAGAGAGATTGGAGCGGATGTGGTCTACAGAATTAAGGCGGGGTGGCTTAAGTGGAGGAGTGCATCTGGAGTACTATGCGATTAACGAGTACCTATTAGACTAAAAGGGAAGTTCTATAGAACAACTATTAGACCAACGATGTTCTATGGGACGGAATGTTGGACAACTAAGAAACAATATGTAGAGGAGATGAGTGTTGCTACGATGAGGATGCTAAGGTGGATGTGTGACAAGACTAGAAAAGACAGAGTTAGGAATAAGTATATTTAAGAATGGATAGGAGTAGTAGTGAAGAGATGCGATACAGTGACGGTAGATGGTAGTGTTAGGGGAAGGGGCAGACCTAGATTAACGTGGACTAGTGTAGTAAATAGAGATATCAATCTTTTTAATTTGACTAACGAAATAGCCTTGGATAAAGTCGAGTGGAGAAGAAGGATTCATGCAGTCGACCCCATTTGATGGGACTTAAGGCTAGGCTTGGCTTGGTTTGGTTTAGATCGTATCATTTTTTAGTTTTTATTTTTTTAATAAAATGTAACGTTAATATGTCAGACCTTTCCCATTCCATTTTGGCAGTGTTTGGCAAGTGGATTTAGAGGCTAAAATAGCCTCAAATAGAGAAAAGCCAAAAAAGCATATACAAACAAAACCCATATGCAGCCTATCACGTGGGGGTGTGGCAAGGCTGTCAGGTGCAAAAAGACCATTTTGCCCTTGAAATTTTTTGAATACCACACCAATCATTCAATCATTAGGGGCAATTTTGTCATTTCCCTTCTCACATCATTTCAAACACATTTTTCGATACAACAATCAAATAAAAAATCCAACCAATCTTCCCAAACACAAAAACGTAGCCTACTAAAATAGCCAAATAGCCAAAATACTTACAAAGTAGCCACTTCCCAAACGAGGCCTTTATCCTTTTCCGTTTTACTAACATGCTTAGTTCTTTTTTGTTATACTTCTCTCCTCCTTATGTGCTCATATTCTTCTCACTTTTCTTCTTGATTATTCTACACACGGCTTTCTTAGTCCCAAATCTTTATCTGAATACAATTTTCTCGCTACAAAGAGGTAAGTATTAAAACAAATATTAGTTAGATTTCTTCAATCAATAATTTAGGGAATGTCACAGATGTTTTTTTATTTTTATGATTTATTGAATTATTTTAAAAACTAGATTTATTTGCAAATGCTTGCATTGCATTATTGACAATACTTGTAATAGTTTTTTTTGCATCCCTAAAAGCAAGTTTGATTTTTAACCAACAAATTTTACTATGTAGAGAGTTAATCAATATAAAACTATTTGTGTATTATATATTATGAAGGCCTCATAATTTTCGCCGTAGGCCTCAACTTTTACTCAGTTTTAAGAGAAACCTATCTCTTATGTAAGATCTAATGATATTTTTTTAAGCTAATATTATTTCCTCGTTGGGACTTGCTGATGTCATGCCTGGACAGTGTGTTATATTGTATGGTTGAATTATGCACTCATTTCTGAATCTAAAAGAACGATGTCATTATCAGTAGGGTTTTAGGATCACTGTTTAAGATGTAAGTCGACCTTGCTTCTGTGGAAGCTGGAGGAATCAAGGTAGAAAAAGACGTTGATTTCTTTGCATGGTTTAGTTGGTGGTGAGCAAAATGGGGCATTTCTATAGACGTTTGTAGCAAGCAGGAAGTTGATATATGGTCCTACTAACAGAAGAATTTGGATGATATCTGGGAATTCCCTTGATCTTGCCCTCTTTCTAGATCTTTGTTATGGTAGAATCGTACATGGTTATTTTAAATGGTGTTTGTTTCGAAACCTGTGTTATTGGCTGTATTATTTTCAGCAATAATCTTTAATACTGTACTGATAATTGATAGCTGAAAGGTACACAAGCTGACCATCTGCATTTTATTGGATAATTATGTATTATGAAAAAGGAGATGGAGAATGAATAGGATGCCACAAGATTACAGTGTGGAATATAAGGACTGTAATACTTCATTTTAATTTTAACAGAAATTACCATTCAGTGGTAATGTTTAAAAATCATTACACATTAATGATAAAGTTTATCATTTTAATTATTAATATTTATAATATTTATCACATTTAATTTTTTTTTTCTTCCTGATATCACTGTTAAATTATTTCCCCTTGATTTTACTATGAGGGTGTCAAACATGTCTAAAAGTAAAAGCTCCAGTTAGTGATAAATGACATTAAGAAATGGCGCACACATGAAAAAGAGAAGGGCAAGAACTAAAAATCTAGAGAGGATAATTTTGGAAACAACAAACAGGTATTTGCAGCTATGTATTATACTGTGTTATTTGACTTCACTTTATAGAAAAGAGAGAGATGGTCTTGACATTGTTTGTGAACAAAAAAGTCTCGTTCTAGATGGACTAAAACTGACACTCTGGGAAGTGGAGAATTTTCAATAAGTAAATATAGAGAAGCTATTCATTCAAGTCAATGCAAGATCTTTTCTTCACTTTTCTGAGTGGGCTTGCTTTCGTGGTTCTCCTGTATTACTTACAGATATGTACAAATATAATTATTGTGTTTAGTTCACTTTTCATTTATAGTTGGTTTTGCTGTGCATGATGTTTACTCAGGGCTCCTATTGGTCAAGGATATGGCCTCACAGAAACGTGTGCTGGAGCTGCTTTTACTGAGTGGGATGACACTTCTGTTGGGCGTGTTGGTCCGCCACTTCCTTGTTGCTACATCAAGGTATTTCATCTTCTGTTTGCCATGAAAGGATCGAATTTCATAATTTCATAATTTCATAACAATAATATTTTTCTTCTAGGTGGGTTATGTTGATCATATTTGTGATATTGAGCATACAATACTTGAAATGATTTAAAGTTACCTTTGATATCGGAGTCATAACTCCCGAAATTACAAACTTATGCAATCCGTTAGTGATAGTTAATGTCAAAGACTAGTTGATTGGTGAATATTACAAACACAAGTTATAAGAGCATGCCTTAGCTTACTATCCTCAAGTAATGTATAAATACAATCATTTTAGCAAATTACTGTAACCGCTGGGTACTTCAACAATGATGCAAAAACAAATGAGGTGTACAAGGTAAGTTTTCCAGAATGCAGCATGTGGCAACTTGATGATGCAGCTCCTTACTGCAAGCCTCTAATTCTTATTGAATATAGGTTGATGAGAAGGGCATGCGTTGGTTTTATACTGGTGACATAGGACAGATTCATCCTGATGGATGCATTGAAATTATTGATAGAAAGAAGGATATTGTTAAACTTCAACATGGAGAGTATATCTCCCTTGGCAAGGTGCGCATACAAGTCTACCCATTATCTCCTGATTTACCTTAGTTTTTGGTTCCAGCCCTCTGTGTTGTTACTATACAGGCAGTATGCAAAAGAGTATTCAAATTAGGTTGGTTATTTGAGTTTTTCTTTGCCCCTGTTGTGCCATATATGTGGCGCAGATAGACAGTACCAGTAGGCTAGTGTACTCTACTTTGTCAGTTTGTTTACTCAACCATTGTTGATACTTCACTGTAGGTTGAAGCAACTCTGATGACAAGCAACTATGTGGACAATGTCATGGTATATGCAGATCCTTTCCACAACTATTGTGTAGCTCTAGTTGTTCCCATACATCAGGTGCTTGAGAAGTGGGCAAAAGAAGCTGGCATTACGTACAAAGATTTCTCTGAGTTGTGTGACAAAGCCGAAGCTGTAAAAGAGGTCCAGCAATCTCTTTTGAAGGTTTGTCCTTTTTTGGCAGCTGATTTCTTATAACAGTGAGCAAAATTTTCACTTCCATTGATAGTGGAGTACATAAACTTGAAAGTGTTGCACTCACCACTCACGTTTGGAGCAGAGTGGGAATTGACACTTTAAAATTGGATCTACAATCTTCAAGGTCCATTGTTAGAAGGTGGTGTGTCCATATTTGACATAATAAAATATAGATGTATTTGTATTAGATCCAGCAATCTCTTTTGAAGGTTTGTCCTTTTTTGGCAGCTGATTTCTTATAACAGTGAGCAAAATTTTCACTTCCATTGATAGTGGAGTACATAAACTTGAAAGTGTTGCACTCACCACTCACGTTTGGAGCAGAGTGGGAATTGACACTTTAAAATAGGATCTACAATCTTCAAGGTCCCTTGTTAGGAGGTGTTGTGTCCATATTTGACACTTCAAGACGTGTGTCAGACACACGTCTAAATGTGTCCTATTAGTTTTCAATTATTATTATTAGATCCGGACATGCTTTGTACACCCAGGAACATGTGTGACTATTATTTAGACATACATGAAATACATAGCTAGTTTAAAGAGCATAACTTGGGAGCCAATGACTAAAATCCAAATAATGTGGATTTAAACCTGACATAATACAATATAGATGTATTTGTATTAGAACATAAAAAATGAAGAAATTGTATTATTTTCATGTATATATGTAAAAATATATAATAATTTCTTGATGTGTCTTTGCTGTGTCATGTCCTATTTTTAAAATATTGCCATGTTGAAGTTTCTGCATCGTGTTGTATTGGTGTCCCTGATCCATATTCGTGCTTCTTAGGCAAGGAGTTTTTCACCATGTGGGCTGACAAGATTGGTCTTCAAATTATGCCTTCATTTCACATATTTTAACACACATGTTATTACGAGCATTAAATCATTAATACTTTCCTTTCTTAATTATTTTTGAAGTTCTTAGACACTTTATAATTCTGCATAAAACAATTTTTCTGCCTCTTGCGAGACCTAATCAGATCTGTATGAAATATTCATCCAGCCACTTATACGCTTTTATTCTTTACTATAAAAGGTGACTCTTTATTATGGGTAATGGGGGGTTTGTTTACAATTTTGAGTTAGTTTTATGTTGAGAGCACTTTGTTCGTGTGTAATTACCATGTCCAGGTGGCAAAACCTGCAAAACTGGACAAGTTTGAAATTCCCGCAAAGATAAAGTTGATGCCAGAGCCCTGGACGCCCGAGTCAGGATTGGTTACTGCTGCTCTCAAATTGAAGAGGGAACAATTGAAGGCCAAGTTCAAAGATGAGCTGAAAAAGATGTACGAGTGAGAAAGCATTTTAATCATTTACATTATATTATGCTTACTTTCTGATTATCTATCTGTATTGTCTTTGTTATCCAACACGGAAACTTCCTCACTGATTGGCACCGATTTTCCTCGCTGGAAGCTTTTTGCTGATTTAGTATTGTTTTAAGATTTCAATGGTTTGTTTCAGTTGAAAAAATAAGTGATGATGAGTTTAATGGTATATCCTTGTCCATAATCAATGTAGTGCACTCGTTGCATCTCCTGTTAAATGTATGAAATATCCTTGTTAGAATCTCAACCCTTTATAAGGTCTAGTAATTGAGTTTACTTGATGATAGTGTTTAAAATATTCGCGTTATGCATAAAATGTGTTACTATTTTACTCTAGAAAATAGGAGGAAATTTGAAGAATCTGACATGTAGACACATCTACAAGTCTATGTAACATGGTGTCGCTTCTAATACAATTTCGAATTCGTGATTAGGTTTGTAAAACCCTGAATCTCTGGCTTCTCTCTCTCTCAAGTTCTACTCTTTTTGCAATTCATTCTAATGACTTAGTGGTAAGCCGTGCGGATTTGACAAATTAAAAAAAATTATTAGGGTAAATTACAAACACCTCCTCGAGATCTGGTAAAAATATAGATTTTTTCCTGAGGTTTAAGAAATTACAAATTGCGTTCTGAGGGTCAAATTTTCATAACAAATTAGGAGAAATTAGGGGAGAATTTGTATGAAAATAAAAATTTCAGGGGGCAATTTGTTATGAAAATATAAACCTCAGAGGGTGGAATGTAATTTCTCAGACCTCAGGAGGGAATCTGTATTTTCACCAAATCTCGAGGGAAGTGTTTGTAATTTGCCCAAATTATTATAATTATCTTAAAGTAATTTAATATTTTATCTTACGGTATATATGAAATTTATAAATTAACTTTTATGTTTATAGTTTTTTAAATTATTAGTTTAAAAAAATTAAAAAATATATATATAAATATATTTAGTGTAATTTTGATAATTTGAATTAAAAAAAAATTAAACCTGATTAAATGAGATTAATTGAATTATGACATACCTCTTCTTGTTATGAAAATATACAAATTTAAAAATTATAATTAAAAAAAATATATAATTTTATTATTAAATATGAAGTGAAGTGATATTTAACAATAATTACTATGATGTTTTTATTATTAATCTAATAATTTAAGTTTAATTTCTTTTGATTTGAATTTCATAACTAAAAATACAATATGAATATAATACACACGGATTTTTGATCTTTATGAATGAGAAGGTTTTAAAATATTTTTAAACTTTCATCATTTTCTTTTAATTTTTCTTTAATCTAATTTGATTTTAAATTTGAAAAAAAAATTTGATTTGATATGAATTACTTTAACTTTCTCATTAAATTTTAATCAATATTTAAAAGAACTTTCATTCTTATCTCAATTTTTTTTTCCCACCAATTTTGATGGAAAAAACAATAATTTTCAACATTTCATCTTTTTAAATTTTTATCAAATTATATTTTGATAAAAAGAATATATTAAGAGTTGAAGATTCTCTTAATTGGAATTATAGTGAAATAACATCTTGAAATAGTCAAAGTTTGAGTATGTGGTCGGTTAAAATGTATAATTTAATCAATTCTTTTCTCATATTTGTATAAAAATTGACATTTATGACTATATCATTATAAGTTGAATTATGAAAAAAAATTTGGGATGTCAAACATTTTCTTTTTGTAAATATCCTACATATTAAAAAATGAAAAAAAGAAAAAAGAAAAAGTGTAGCTTTTTGATATGTGTTTATTAGTTTTGTTTGATGGACATAAACAATTGATGTTTCAATTTAAAAAATTAAAAAGTAAAAAAAAAAAATAGATTGAATTTTTTAGAGATAAAAGAAACTATCTAACTCTTCTACATACTATTAAGATAGACTCTTTCAATTTTAAAAAATAAAAGTAAAAAAAAAATAGATTGGATTTTTTAGAGATAAAAGAAACCATCTAACTCTTCTATATACCATTAAGATGGACTATTTTAATCACATAAAAAAAAATAGAAATTATATTTAGATATTATTCCTATATATTATGATATTACATACAACTATAGTTGTAACAAATTAATTATAATATACATGAAAAGTTATATTAAACTTTCATTTTTAATTAATTGAATTATAATTAACAAATACCAGTAATGGTCTAATGAGATAAAAAAAGAATAAAAATAAAGAACACAATGATATTTAAAAGTTTTAAATTTAGTTATACAAAAATCTAATATTATAGTAAATCTTGAATTTTCAATAAATTTTCACATTTTTTATAAAATAAAATGACAAAAAACATTAAAAAATTTGATATCCATTTTTTTAACTTCAATTTTATGGCCTTCACTGAAGAAAACAAAAACTGATCAAAATCCTTGGCATGGAACGGACATAGATACTTTGATTGCAATCATAATTACTAATAATTCTTCTCTACAATGTAAACCTATAAACAAACATATAAACCTTACTAAAACGAAAACCAAAATCAAACGAGAAAAAGAATCACAGAGGAAAAAAATAAAATTAAAAAATAAATAAATTTATAGAGTAGGAGAATGTTACCTCCAATAACCTAAACCTCACCTAACCCAATCCATTAGCTCTTTTGTCGGTGTTCGCGAAGTTTAGGAGTTGGGATGACTAATCAGATTATTCTTTAAATAAAACTTAAAAATTAATTAATTTGTCTCATTAAGTGATTTGAAATTTTGATATATATACATCAAAAAAATAGATAATTATATTACTATATCATAATTCAAATGTAGATATTATCATATTTTTTTTAGATCCATATCTAAATTCTTATACTTTTTTTTTTTATTTTTGTGTGATTTTTATTTGGATTTTTTTTTTAATTTATTTAAGACGGAGTTATGGGTAGCTATTTTTTTTTAATTTAATTTATCTTTGATTTCTATTTGTTTTTAATTATTATTATTTAGGTAAGTTATGATGCGAGTTAGATTTGTGATAGACATATAGGTTTTATTAATCTAAAGTATAATGGTGCGAGATATTTTCAAATTAGATTTGTTTAGATAAACTTTAAAGATTTTTAAAATTTAAAATTGGATATTGACATGCGAAAGAAAAATTTTAACTGAATAAATAAAAATCAAATTTATTAATTTTATCTGTTTCTATATCTGATTTTTAGTTTTTTTTTTGGTTATTTTATAATATAAGATATAAGATATAGATAAATATCTACAACTTTCGTAAAAACTATTATCTCATTTTTTGGGGAAGAGAGAAGGAATACAATTTTAATATTTTTTTTTGAAAATCGGTGAGAGAGATTAGGATGGAGAAATTAGGAAATATTTTTGCTATTAAATAAATAAATCAGTCAATAGCTTTTTTAATCTATTTTATAAATTAAAAAATTAATAATTTTAGAAAATTGATTAATTTGTTCCATTAAGTGATTTAAAACTTTGATAGATATATATCAAAAAAATAGATAATTATATTACTAAATCATAATTCAAATTTAGATGTTATATTTTTTTGAGATTCATATCTAAATTCTTATCTTCTTTATTTTTGTGTGTAACCATAGTGTATATGAGAAATTAAAAAGGATGTTGCAGTAATTATGAGAGAAGTCAAAAGGGTTTGTGGGTTGAAAAAAGTCAATAAATACCGAGATTTTTTTTATTAAATCAAAAAAATTAAAAAATTAAAATTAAGATATTAAAATTCTCACAAAATTTATAGATCAGAAACCTTATCCTCTTTTTATGTAATATATATAGATAGATTTGACAGTGGTGGTTCAAACTCACTATTGTTTAGCTGTTGTTGAAACCATCTAGTAATGGAACTCAAAGTTGTGGTTGTTTGGTATTGTTTTAGAGATTGGATGATAAAAATAGAGATAATGATATCTGTCAGTACTTGTTTGGATAATTAAGAATACAAAGAATAGTGAGAAAGAGAAATTTGTTAAAAATGGTGAGATAACGAAAAATATTTTTTATGTGAAAAGTCATACTAATATTTTTAGTTTCTTCATTTCAATAAAATGATAAATTAAAATGTTACCATTTCTTTTCTTGCCTATTGTCCTAGACAAAAAGCCTGCACAGATTCAGCATTAGCTAATTTGAACCTTATTAATTTGTAAATGCATAAATTTATAGAAAGAATTTTGAACACCATGAATCAATAGTATAGATAAATGTGGGGACATATTTTTTGGGTAGTCCACGTGGCCGAGGTTGTTGGCCGAGGTGCTACGTGGGCAGATCATGTTTGCCGAGATATTTGGGACACTGTCGAGGTATTCTGCGGTAATACCGGAATTCGAGATAAGCGGATAGGGGACAAGAGTCCTAGAATGGAAGAAGACTTCAGTTTGGGTAAATATAAGACTCTTAGAGAGTTTATCCTAAATCTACTGGGAGTTCAAGATTAGCAGTAATCCTAAGTCCATTAGAGCTAGGCTTCTATTGGGACTACGATTGTGTTGGCTATAAAAGGGAGGCACCTCCATGGGTCTAGGGTATGCTTTTGATATTCTATCTAGTGAGTTAAGCATTATTGGTTATCTTTGAGAGATATTGAGTACTGACTTGATCGTTGGAGTGCCCCTGGGTGGACGAGCCACCGCCGGAAACTCTTTTTTCTGTTGCAGTCATTCGGGCTTAATCTATTCTGCCGGTGCTCTCCAGCTAGGTACCTGTTTGGCAGTGTGGTTAGAAAAGCACCCACACAATTTGGCACCGTTTGTGAGAAAGAAAGGAGAATAGATGGCCAACGACGGACAGAAGGATAAGGTTGGGGACGAAATCCTTGCTGGGAGTGGAAAACACGTTGACCCAAATGCGGAAGAAGATGGTCACAATGAGGAGACTCAAAACCAGAATCACAGCACGAAAGACGTCGGCCAGGATGGCGACGTGCCAAAGAAACCAGATCAAAGTTGATACTACAACGAGGACGACCTCCCAGTATGGAAGGATAGATGCCTGCGGAGGGACGAAGAGGTGAAAGAGATGGCAAACAAGTTGGCAGACCTGTAATCGGTCATCAATTTCATGATGCAAAACAACGTCATACAGCCACCGTTCCTGCTGCAGGACACGCCGATTCCAGCGGCCAAAAAAAGTGCCCAGAAAGAGGGGCAGAAAACGGTTCCTA